TTTCAGATGGGTTTGCCTTATGAATTCAGTGTCTAGAGTACCATTAAATACTGATTACTCCTTTATTTTCAAGGTCTGATGAGGAAAGCTGTTTTTCATGACCTGTTTTTTTTTTTTTTTTTAATTTTACTTATTTATTTTTCCCCCAAAGCCCCAGTGGATAGTTGTATGTCATAGCTATACATCCTTCTAGTTGCTGTATGTGGGACGTGGCCCCAGCATGGCCGGAGAAGCGGTGCTTCATGACCTGTTTTTGAATCACAGCAGCTGCATCTTTAGTGGTGATGACCCCTTCCTTCCCCCTGCCTTTTGGGGCCAGCTGTTCGTCCCGGTCCCGTCATTTCGGCCAACCCCCCCCCCCCCCCCAGCCCCAGATGAAGGCCTGGCCCCTTTCCTGCCTTGGCCTGAGCTGCTGCAAGTTGCTAAGCAACAGACACCTCTCCCAGCAAATAACTGACCCTTCAGTGAAACACAGGCAGGTCTGTTCCCTGGGCAGCATTGTCCTCCATGCACGCTCCTCATCGGGCCCAGCCTGCTGACTCTCCTTTCTTCGGTCTCCCCCCAGAACGCACAGCTGTGTTCAGACAAAAGCATTCTCAGGAAGACAGCGTGCATTTGGGGATAAAGGGCTTTAACACTGCCTCCTATGCAGTCCCGCTCCTGGTCAGTGATGGGCAGGAAAGTGGTCATGCTGCGGGGAGCCCACCAGTTTTTCCAGAGAGGACATTGGCGAGGCCGCTGCTCTCTCCAGCCTGGAGGATGTCTCCCTGACATCCTCTTTGTGATCGTTCATTTACCTGTGTGCTTGTTTTTACATCCTTCTGTGACTCTAGCCCATATGACTCTCCAGAAGTGCTGTCTGAAGTGTGTGGACCTGAAAAGTTGTCCCTCTTTTCCTAGAATGTGGAATGTGCTTCAGATTTGCATAATTCTGGACCTCCCCCTCCAGACAGAATGCAGAGAAAGCCGAGGACTCAGGTGTTTGTGTGACCCGGTGGGACGCGGGCAGCCCAGGTTTTGAGCAGACTGCAAGCCCCTGCCTTGCCTTTTAGTCAAGTATAGGGTGTTTGGGCTTCTGAAAGCTGCCCTGACAGAAGAGAGGCCTGGACAATTGAGCCTTTGCTGACAGCGATTTTCAGTGAGTGGAGACTGATTGAGGAATAACAAAGTGTCAGGGGAAAATGAATCTTCAGACAGGTGGCAAACCGGCTGCAGCTGGAAAGGTAGGTTTCTCCTTTGTCTCAGGCAATCAGTGTGGATCCTGGCTGCCTTGCACTTAGCAGTGGCGGCGTGGGAAACCACTGATTTAGTCCCTTCCTGCTGTTCTCTGTTGACGGCGCCGAGGCTGAGGTGTCCCGGGCACAGCTTCCTGGGCCCCGTCGCCCATGAGCACTGGGCAGAGCTGCCCTCTCTGAGTTTCTGTGATCTTCTCCTAACGTCCAGGTTATTTACCTCAAACCAGAGCCCTGTGACGGCTCGGCCAGACGCTGACGTTCCTCCCAGCACAGAGCCCAGCCTTCCCAGCCGGGGTACAGCAGAGGGGCAGAAGCACCCGGGGTCAACAGCTGCCCACTGTGGAAATCTCATTTTTCAGTGCTGTGCTGACTGGTGTCATTGGTTCCCCAGGAGCGTTTCCGGTTCTGGCAGGGACATAAGGACATGCCTTCTAGTGATCATTAAATTAAAATTTATTTTTAATCCCTCGGGTAATATACAAATACATGCTTACTCACATATTTAATGGGGGAAGTTACAGCCCTTCACTGTTCCATACTGTCCCACGAATTTCCATGAATTTTCCTACATGCCTACATCCATATGTAGTTTGCTTTCTTTCTTTTTTTCCTTTAACATAGAGAGGATTACATTATGCAAATTGTTTTTCTACTCTGTAACTCGTTGTGGCGACCTTCCCTGTCAGGCCCCTGGTTGACCTCCCCCTCTAACTGCTTCCGTGCTCCGCACGTGGGCTTGTGGGATTTGTTCGGGTGCTTCTGTGCTCGGGCATGTGGGTCATGGCAGTTTGCTGTTGTCAGCAGGGCTGCTGCAGACACTCTCGTGCTCGCCACAGGTAGCATTGCACGCGTGTCCTCTGCACACATGCGAGTTGCCCGGACAGCGCTCGGCTTGGTCGTGCTCTGTGGCGGAAGTTGGGCTTCCCAGTCAGACACCTTGTTGGCTGTTGGGAGACTCCTGGAGGACTTGAGGTGGATGCTCTCCCGAGGCTGCGATGCTCTCTGAGCGCGACCATTCGATGGTATCTTTGAGAAGCAACTTAACCAACAGTCACCACAGGGAACATTAAAGGAAAAAAGTGTTGAAGCTGATTTGTTTTGTGGTTTTGGTATACTTTCTCTCTGCCTTGCCTCACTGGGGTGTATGGACTCAGGCCCTCTTGGCCCTGGGATCACCAGTGGGTGTCTTTTTAATCCACTGCCAGAGCCTTTCTTGTGCCGTTTTGTTCTCTAGGAAGATAAGATTGCATAAGTCACGATGTAAAGAATCACCTTAAACAACATCCCGCAAGCGCCCAGCGTTGAGAGCGTGGGGGCGTGAGAGTGCACGTGAGGAGGTTTAATGTGCGTTGAAGTTGAACTCGCTGCAGCGCTCAGATTTCCCTCACTGGAGGACACGGAGGGGCCGCTCCTAAGTGCCAGGTTTCTCTTAGCAGAGGATAATGGAACCATTTCCTGCAATTTTTACCTCGTTACCAAAATCAGCCTGTGCAGTTTTTGGAGTCTGCGTTTAGGGTGGAACAAAGGAGAACTCAGCTTGCTGTTCTTGTGTTTCGTCTTTGAGACTGTTTCAGGGGGAGGGGTGGGAGAGTGGGTTGCTGCGCAGAGCTCTGAAATTGTCTGTGGAGAGGCTTGAGGTCTCAAGGACAGCTGGCCCTGGCAGAATCCTCGTCTGCATTTGGCTTCTAGTGACATTCCATTTTTCCTGGGAAGCAATGCTTGCTCGATGATTTGCTGACTCCCTCTGAAGTGAGCTCGTTTCAGGAACCAAAGGCTCGAAGTCTCGAGTGTTCTGGAGTTCTTGGCTTGTTAGAAAGGAGCCGGGGCGGGGGTGGGAGGTGGGGGGGGCTGGCGAGTGGCTGGAACACGAGCCGTGCTGCTGACCCCCTGAGGGGGGAGCTCCCTCTGCCTCTGCCCCCCATTGCTCGTCAGCCTCGGCCCTCAGCCTGGGGGGAGCCTGCGGCGCCTTCTCCAGTGGGTTCTGGAGCAGCTGGAGGGGACTTTGGTGGCGTGTCCGCCTTGGTGGGTACAGCAGGGCCAGGTTTAGGGTGGTGCTTTGTGTTGGGTTCCTCCTTGGCAGACAAAGTCTTTGTTGCTGTTATTTTCATTTTATTGCGATTGAGAGCAGTGCAGGAGTTGCTGGGCATTCTCTATACAGAGTGCACAGCGTCTAAAATCATGGACCCCGTGCTTCGGGTGGCTGGTCGGTAGGAACTGCGTGCCCGCCCCGTGCCCGCCCTGCACTGTGTGCTTTGCGGATTTGGGGCTGCAGGGGAGCGTGAGCAGCTCGTTGGCTTGACACACATTGGTGCCTGCTGTTCCAGGGCTCAGAGGTGGCTGTGTGGGGACTTCAGCAGAGGCCACAGAGGAGGAGGGAGGGAAAGCCAGAGGCGGGCGGTCACGCACACATGAGGGTGACACGAGGCAGGACTCAGCTTCCGGGGAAGGGCCTCGGTTTCTCAGGGTCTGAGCTGTCCTGAAGTCCAACAGTGGGTGGTGTCCGTGCACAGCGGAGAGAGTCCAGTCTTCATGAAGGGGGTGGTGACGAGCAAGCCAGGGCATGGCCCCAACGGCTGGAGATGGGCTGTGGTCCTCAGGGAATCTGGATGAGTCGTACCCGGGCCTTCGGGCGGGTGGAGGGGGCCCTATCCGGATGGGCTTGGGGCCAGGCCGGGGCAGCCCCTACTGTAGACTGGAGGGAGTGACGTTGGTGGGTAAAGGCAGAAGGAGAGCAGTCATTGTGAAATGATCCTGAGACGACAGATGGCCCCGATTGCTCAGGCACAGTGTGGTGAGGTCTAGGAGACTCGGTCGAGAGATGGCGGGGCTCCTGTGCAGGAGTGCAGGGCCTGGGAAGCCCTGGGGGCTGCTCGGCCTTGAGGTTTCCGCCTGGCCTGGGGCTGGGGGCCAGAAGCAGCACAGGCAAACACCAGCCTGCCCCTCCCTGAGCCGCCCTGTGGGGACAGTGCTTGGCAGGTAGAGACGGGACGAGGCTGCTCGCTCCGCAGACGGGCACCTCGGACCCTGTGAGAACCTGCCTGGCATCCCCAAGGTCACAGGATGCCCTTGGTCCCTCATTCAGGGGCCCTGTGAAGGACTGGCCTCGACTCCTCCTGGTACTGACACGCCCACACTGGACTGAGTAGGACTCGGAGGACAGGCGGTGCTTCTCGGGCGTCAGCAGGCTGTGAGTGACGGAGAACCGGAGTGACGGAGTGTGTGTGAGCCCGGCTGGCAGCATCTGCTGCTGGCGTCTGTTTAGAAGTTTCTGATTTAACAAAACAGCAAGTCGGCCCCAGCCAGGGAAGCACTAGCCCATGCAGACCTCAGAGCCTGGCTCTTTGAAGACAGGACGTGTGAGCAGATGAAAAGATGGGAAAGCAACGGGTAAGCACATTAGAGAACTTGACATGTCTGACAACTGTCGCATCTCATTAAGCCCACACTTAGTGAGACCGCACCCTCAGAAAGAACGAGGCTGTTCGAGGTGAGGGGGAGCTGGGCGACAGCAGATCGAGCTCAGGTTCGTTCTCTGCGGCAGTGACCTGCGGGGAGCTGCCTGTGATCTGTCTCGTGCACGCCGCGCGTCTTTTACAAACCACTGAGCGTCTGGACGGCACAGTTGCTGCCACCCAGCTCTTAGAGGCAGCACCACTTACAGCCCAGGGAGAAACGTGTCAGGCCCTGATGGAGTCCGGCGCGGCGTGCCCTGGGCCCCGCGGAGGCTGACGGCCCCCTCCCCTGTCCCCATGTGCTTCCTCCCAGGCCCGCCAGCACTACGGCCCCAGGGGCTTGCCGCCCCCCAGGACTCGCCTGTGGGACCAGGGGTAAGTCCAGGCCCAAGAGGCCTGTTTCAAAATTCCAAAGTCAATTATTTAAAGCTCCAGGTGCGGGAAGGTTCCCTTCGCATCTTTAAAAACAGTCAATGTCTTGTTTGCTTTCTTGGGGCTGGTGAGCTGGAAGGGGGAGGGGCTGCTGGCTGCGGTGGCTGGGTGTCCTCAGTCTCCCTCTTGCCCATCAGGGTGGCGGCCTCCAGTTTGCCATTGAAGGCATGTTTCAACACTTTAAAAATGACGTATTTTCCCTGGCAATTATGCTGAATGGTTGAGAATCTTTCAGGACTGAACAGCCCTTGTTTTTTTCTGAGATGCTGAGGTGTGATCTTCACCCCTCCTCTTCCCACGGTTTCTGCCAGGAGAAGGTGCCTGGCTGTCACCAGCACTCAGGGCAGTGCCAGCCTGGAGGCCAAGCAGCTGGTGCTGGTGGAGACAGGGCCGCAGCCAACAGAGGCCTGGCATGATGATGGCCGCCAGAGAGCAGACATTTCCTCCATGTGTGAGGATTTCCTGTGTGGAAGGAAGGGTTCTGGCTTGCTTGGCCGTTGGCTGGCCAGTGCTACCACTGCCCCTCTGGAATCCTGAGTGGGTCAAGGTGCTCTCCTGTGGCTCTGGACTGGCTCTGGCCATGTGATTTAGAACGAGGTCAGAGTTGGCTTGTCCTCCTGATGAAGTTGTCTGCCAGCATCACCCTGGAAATTGACTTTCTAGAAAAGTTGATTAAATCAGTTTCAAAGGCTGTCTCCAGGAAGTGGCTTTAACGTGTACCAGGCAGCTTGAAACTGGATTGGATCAGAAGTGAATGTTGTGTTCGCCTGAAGACATGTGTTTGGGGACAGCCTCCCAGGCTTCCCTGCTGGCCTGCCTCAGCGTTTTCCCTTCAGCAGTTTCCACGTTACCCCTAAGTGGTCAGGGACCACAGGACAGCGCTTCCCACTTCCAGGGGCAGGAACGGCTCACGACAGCTTATGGGGTCCGAGGGGAGCGGAACAGACCCTAAAGATCTTCTCTGCCCCTGAAGATGCTGCCGGGATCCCCCATTGCTCCATGCATCCCCCATCCGTTCTTTCGGCATCTCTTTGTGTATTGAATCCTTCTCTGTACCAGCGCCTCCCTTGGGCCAGCTGTCATTGTGGACAGCAGATGTCCCACTTATAACGTGTACCTTATAAACAGAGCCCAGGGTTTGAGAGACGGGTCTTCAGTAGAGCGTGGGCCCTCCATCCCTCCATCCGTCTTTTATCGCAGCATTCATTTCCCAAGTACTTGTAACATTTATAGAAGGCTTACCCTGTGCTATGCCCTTTCTGTAAATTCTCTTTTACTTCTCACAGTAGTCCTGTGAATTAGGTACTATTATTATCCCCATTTTACAAGTGAGGAGGCTGAGGCAAGAAAAGGTTAGGCGACTTGCCCTGGTCATGTGATATGCAGTGGCGGAGCCGGAGTCCCTCCCAGCTCTGTCTCCAGAGCCATGTTAGCTGCCCTTATGTTACTGCCTGAACAGGAAGGTCCATGTCAGAGGAACATGGGTTGGAATTGGAAGGGGTCTTGGAGATGTTCAGTCCAGGGATGGAGGCGAAACCCAGAGAGGTTCAACCACCAGTCTGCCTGCAGCCCACGATTGGCAGAGAACCTGGCTTCCCTGGCCCTTTCCCCCTTTCCACTTCCTTTTCCTTGTAATGATGTTTTCATTGAAATATTTAGGACCTGGGAGAGATCACGGAATCACATTTCGATAACTAGAATAAAGGAAATTAGACAGGTGTTGGGCTCCAGAGCAGCCGCTGAGCAGACCTCACTGCCTTCCATGGCTGCATCTAGAGGCCTCCTTCCTTCTGATGGTTTTGTGCCAGCATTGGTGGGCGGGGCTTTGTGAAATTATTGGGCTGCATTTTATCGTCTTACCCAAGCTTTCTTCCCTTCAGTTGTCGCTTTCCCAGCTGGTGGCTTCTCCACAGTCCCTGGCTCAGCACCGCTCAGCCACACCCTCTTCGCAGCGACCCGGCCCTGAGCCCTCCCTGGCCCAGGCGGTAAGTGCGCCCACCCCACTTCCTGCTTGCCTTCTGCAGGAGAAGGGCTCCAAACGCCTGACTTCTGTTGAAGTCTCTGACTTTGCAAGCTGTGCTGGTCCTTGGTTAGGTGGCTGAGAGCTTCATGGGTTCTCTGCGATACAGGCAAAGGGACCAAGGTGGGGTGGACACTGCTTACTTCCATGCTTCAGATGTTTGCCACCATTCTGTCTTGGTGACCAAGGGACATTTGGTCTGGGGGCTCTTCTTGCCATGGTGCTTGATTTAGGCTTTTGCTCCCCCCAAGAAGACAAAGTTAAACCCCCATAGGTGTCTGCGTGTGGAAGGAAAAGGTGAGTTTTGCCAGAGATATAAATAGAGGCTGCTCCAGGCTGCTACTCCCCAGGACCCTCGTTGCTGTCGGCGGCTGAAGGAGTTAGAGAAGCCCGCTGTCCTGGATTCCAGCAGAGCAAAGGGGCTAAAACAGGCCTGTGTTCCCACCCACCTCAGGGAATTCAGAGTGCAGTTTCAAAAGCTGGCTGGTTCACCTGCAGACTGCGTCTCCAGTCTCTCACTGGAAGTCTGTTGAGAAAAATAGCCCCATTTAATTACTTATTTGAAAACACTCACAGTACCATGAAATGCCTTATTCTAAAATATATCTGGGGCTCTTGTATGTATGAAGAGCCTGCATCTCTGTTATTACTGGAACCTGAGGCGTGTTGGAGTTACCTCTGGTTATGTGGCATTCCTTTCAAGCTGAAATAGAAAGCTTGGGAAGCCAGCTTGAAAGCGAGCCTTCTGGATTCTCAGACAAGCTCTTCATTTAGACACACGTCTTCTGCTTTGGAGGGAAGTGAAGGCAGAATACAAGTGGATGACTACAGTAGCCAGGGGCAGTGTCTTGCAGTGTTGAAGGAGGTTCCATCGTTCTGTTCTGTAAACGTGATTTTGATGTTAATTTACCTCTGAGGCATCAGATGTCTCCCATGGTACTGACCTGTTCAAAAAATCGGTGATGCCTTCCTCGTTGCTTTTCAACTCACATAAAATACAGGATGCCCAGGTAAATTTGAATTTCAGATAAACAATAACTTCTTAGTGTCAGTCTCAAATATTGCACAGGACATACTTATTCTAAAATTATTCACTGTTTACCTGAAATTAAAATGCAGTTGAGCCACCTGTATTTTTATTTGCTAAAGCTAGCAACCTGACAGAGGCAGTTCCTTGCTGGATCCCCACATCTGAGCATCCTTGGTTGTTATAGGGTGGGATCCTTGTTGGCCTCACCTGGGCCTTGTTTGGTTCAGCAGGAGGCCCCCTTGGAGGGCAGGATCTCTCACCTGGAAGCTGACCTGAGCCAGACGTCCTCGGTCCTGGGAATGTCCATTGCTGACCAGTTGCGGGAGCTGCCTTTCACACCCGTGCATGCCCCGGTCGTCGTGGGGGCCCAGACCCGGAGGTGAGGGATGGCTGGGAGGGACTTGGGCAGGTGCTGTGCCATCAAGACCTTTTGACTCTCTGAACAACAGGCTTTCCCGGGGAGGTGGATATACAGGTGCTGCTCTCTGCTGGCCCCCTCCTCCAGGCTGGCTGAGGAGGTCTTTCTGTTTCAGCTCTGGGAGTAAGCCCTCGCGAGCCTCGATGGTGCTCCTGCAGTCCTCCGGCTTTCCTGAGATTCTGGATGCCAATAAGCAACCAGCTGAGGCTGTAAATCCTACAGATCCCGTGAAATTCAACCCTCAAAAGGAAGAATCAGATTGTCTCCAAAGCAATGAAATAGTGCTGCAGTTTCTTGCCTTCAGCAGGTAAATTCTTGACTGTTCTGTCCGTTACCCTTTACTGGCTTTTACATTTCTTGCATTGAAGAAAAACTTGGTGTAGTTCTGACCTGGCAGAACTCTCTATGTCCAGGTCTTATTATATTAAAGAATTCTTTCTGTTTTTCTTTTAGTTTGGCTAGGACCCACCCACAGCCATTTCTAAATGCTGTAACCCCTGCTTTGCTCGGTCTTCTGTGGTCCTTGGTTAAAGTGTGGACAGTGTGTTGGCCAGTTCTTGGGTATTCATGTAGCTCTGAGAGCAGGGTTCTCCAGCCAAGGCTGAAGTGGGTTGACGTCCAGTGTAAGATCACGTAGAGCTGTTGGTGTGGGCGAAGGAGGCAGCCTCTCACTGTGGCGCCCGCGTGACTGCCCACGTGAGTGCGTGCGTGATGAAAGCCTGGGTTCTCTGCTGTGGACACTGGATTAATTCAGAGCTGTTGTTGGTTGGATTCAGAGTGTCCCAGGACCGCCGGGGAACGCCGTGGCCAAGGACCGTGTACTTCACCTTACAGTTCTATCGCTTCCCACCCACGGCAACGCCGCGGCTGCAGCTGGTCAGGCTGGACGGGGCCGGGAGGACCAGCTCGGGCTGCCTGTCGCACATCCTCGTTCTGATTAATAAAGACGGCTCCTTGGATGCTGGTGAGCACTCGTGCGTGTGCAGACGTGAGAAGTCAGTGCTAAGCTTTGTTTGTAAATTTTATTATTAAAAACAATGTTGTACAATGAAAAAATTCAAACGTGGAGAATTTGAGAGAATAGTACAATGAATCAGTGCTCTTGCCACTCAGCTCCAACAGGTATCAACCACATGCCCACCCAGACCCTCCCCAAACCAGGGCTGTTTTGAAGCAAATCCCAGAAATTACATAATTTGATCTATAAATTTTTCCTTATGTATATCTAAAAACTAAGGGGTCTTTTTTGAAAAATGTAAACTCAATATTGTTATCCCACTTCAAAATTAATTCCTTAATGTCATCAAATATCTAGCCAGTGTTAAAATTTTCACAGTAATTTCATAAAATATTTTAATAGTTTGTTCAAATCAGGATCTAAGTAAGGTCCATACATTGGAACAGTGTGACTCTCAAGTCTCTTTCTCTCTGTTGTTGCCACCACCGTCCCCATCTCTTCATTTTAATTCATGTGTTGAAGGAGCCACATGGTTTGCTGTGGAGCTTCCCAGAGGCTGCACTTTGGCTTGCGCACCAGTGGTGACGTTCAAGGTGCTCCTCTCTCCCCTGTTTTCCTGCAGATTGGGAGTTAGGTCTAGATGCAGGGTCAGATGCACGCTTTTTGTTTTGGGCAAGAATTCTCTATGCTGGTGGTGCACACACCGTCTCTGCAGCACCATAACATCTGGTTGCTTCTTTTCAGGCTGCGTCCATGGCCATCAGGACTGTTGCTTGCAGCCTGATTATTTCATTTGAGGTTGCATGGTGGCGACATTTTACTTCTAGAACACCTGCTGGAATGCTTCCATAAAGAGAAACTTCCTTACATCAACTATTGGTTACCTTGAGGTGTAGTTTATATAGGAAAGGCAGAATAATGCTTGATTCTTCCCATTTATGTACTGATTTTCAGAATAGTGAGTCAGTTCCCAGCATCCTTCAAGGGTGAGGCCAATGATTTTTTTTCTGGTGTCATAACCTAAGGTATTTAAATGACAGTGAATCAAAACAGACCAAATATGTTGTTATTTTTATTGATGGTCAATTGTCCCATCTTTGGCCAGTCACACAGCTCGTAAGGCAAAGAGCTGGGATCTGAACCATTGCTGCTTTCCCGAGTAGAAAGTAACAGGTGGAAATAGATGTATTAAAATACGAAGCAAACGAAAGTAGTTTAACAGCCTTAACATCATACAAGACAAAAAGTGAGTGTGGAGCTGGGGATAAAGAGGCCTGTTGAGTGATAATCAAGAGGATAATTCACTAGGACAAAAAACAGTTCCGACTCTGTGAACTTCCAACACACATAGCCTCAAAATACAAAGGAAAAACCGAGGGACTTTATAAGGAGAAATTGACAAACCTACAGTCAGGAGATTTTGACACACCTCTCTCAGTAAGTTCTTAGATCAAGCAGAAAAAAATTAAGGATATTATAATATATAATTTGAAAACGTGATCTTATAAAACCTATGCAACCAATTTAGAGAACGTGCGTTATTTTCAAGCATACTTTGAAACCTATAAAAACTGATCATTCATAGATATGTGTACATAGAGAGGCCACCAAGCAGGTATCACCATACACCAAGAGAATCTATGTCAAATCTAATTTTATGGTATTCCCTGACCTAACACCACCAGGTCAGAAATCAATCACTCCCTCTCCCCAAAAAGCTCCAAACTTGTGTTTTTTTTTTAATTTTGAAACAGACTTTTAATTATTCTATAGGTTAGTGAAGAACTCAAAATAGAAATGACTATTTAAAACTGAATGACAGGGCTGGCCTGGTGGCATAGTGGTTAAGTTCGTGCGTTCCACCTCAGTGGCCCGGGGTTCGCAGGTTCATGATCCCCGGTATGGACCTACACACTGCTTGTCAAGCCATGCTGTGGCGGCGTTCCACATATAAAGTAGAGGAAGATGAGAATGTATGTTAGCCCAGGGCCAATCTTCTTCAGCAAAAAGAGGAGGATTGGCAACAGGTATTAGCTCAGGGCTAATCTTCCTCACCGAAAAAACAAAAAAACAAAAAAACTGAATGACAAAATAATATTGCGTATCAAAACTAATGAGATGCAAATAAATGGTAATTACAGGAAATTTACAGCTTTAAATGCTTATATTAGGAAAGAAGAAAGTATCAAAATTTTAAGATGCTGATCTAATTGTTCAACTCAAGAAATATGGTGGAAAAAAACAGAACAAACCCAATAAAAGTAGAAGGAAAGAAATTTAAAAATGAACATTAATGCTTAGAAAACAAAGAAACAATTGACAGGGTCAGCCAAATTGTGGGCACGAGGGGTCGCAGGTACACAGGTAGTGCTCTTTTCCCTTGCCCAAGGTCAGGGTCAGTCGAGAGAGTCGGAGCTGTCTCGGGAATGTGGTTAGTCCGAGAGCCAGATGTGCTTGCTGGCGCTCAGCTCTGATTGGGTGGACTTTGCTGCAGGCAGAGGTGGGGTTGGACGGCAGCAGCCAGCCTCGGACCCTGGGGCAGAGCTGCCGCCCCCTGCTCACCCGTGGACCCGAGCATCCTCTCTTCCTGCGGCGGGCAAATCTGAAAAGAAGAGAGAGGGGAAGTGGGAGCAGCTCAGGCCCTGTTCCTTCCCCGAACCCCTCCAGCTGATGAGCTGCTCTGCCCTGGGGAGGAGTGTGCTAGGCAGGGGCGGGCACAGGAGGTCCCTCTGCATGGAAGCACATGGCCGGGAAGGGCGTTCTCCTGCAGTGTCCCGGGTGTTCTCTCCACTCATTAGGCCTAATCATTGAGTTTATGGGCAGCCCGAGGTGTGACTAGATTACACTAGGGTAGTTTCCCAACCTTCCTGGGGCCACTTCTCCCAAATCAACTGCCTTTCCTTTGCGGATCGTCCCAGGACCATTGGTGGACAGTTGAGCTTATGTTCCCAGAAGGCTTTGGAATGGATCCGAATAATGTGCTGATTTAGCAGCCATTGCTGAAAACTCATTCCCTGTTCTATTTCCCATTCTAAATTCTATCCAGTCACTTTATGCAGTGTAGCTCATCAGAGGTTCTGTAATGAGATTAAATGATAGCGTTAAGATAATTCAATAAAAAAGGCCAACCACTTAGAGATGCTCCTGATTTGAATACAAACCCCTTTCCATTATGAATTTCCCAGAGAGAAATTAGTCCAAAAATTAAATTTCCTTGCAATTTGAAGTCCAAAGAAATTAAACTCCAAAATCAAATTTTCTTGTCATTATGAATTAGAATTCAAAGTCCACAATTCTTAAGTTGAAATCCAAAAAAAAAAGGTTCTTTTCAATTTCTTACACAGCTGAGTCTCAGCCAAAGGAACTCTGCTGGGGCAGATCTGGGCTTCCTTCAGCAGCTAAAGCTTGGGGGTCCTCCCTGGATGAGAAAGCTTGGGGGTCCTCCCTGGATGAGAAAGCTTGGGGGTCCTCCCTGGATGAGCAAGCTTGGGGGTCCTCCCTGGATGAGCACGCTGCGGGTCCTCCCTGGATGGGCACGGTTCCTCAAGGCCTCAGAAGTTGCATCAGTTTGGCACCGAGTCTGTCATGAGCCTCACTCGAGATGTATTTTCTTTTGTTGTTGATATATAACATGCATACAACAAAGTGTACAGTTCCATTATTTTTTTTAAATTAATGGATTTTATCTTTTAGAGCAGTTTTAGATTTATAGAGAAATTGAGCTTATAGTACAGAGTTCTCATACACTCCCTGCCCCCACAGTCTCCCTGTTGTTGATGTCTTGTGTTAGTGTGGTGCTTTGTTAGAATTGAGGAACCAATGTTGATGCGTTGTTATTAACTGAAGCTTGTCGTTTACATTAAGGTTTACTCTTGGTGTTGTACATTCTGTAGATTTTGACAAATGCACATCATATATCCACCGTTACACTGTCACACAGAATAATTTCACTGCCCTAAATATCCCCTGTGCTGCACCTGTTCATCTCTCCCTCCCCCAGCCCCTGTCTACCACTGATCTTTTTACTGGCTCCATAGTTTTGCCTTTTCTGGGATGTCATACAGTTGGAATTGTATGGTATATAATAGCTCTTTCAGACTAGCTTCTTTCACTTAGAAATGTGCATTTTAGTTTCCTCCATGTCTTTTTGTGGCTTGATAGCTCATTTCTTTTTAGTGCTGAATAATACTCCATTGTCTGGATGGACCAGTTTGTTGAGCCGTTCACCTACTGAAGGACATCTTGGTTGCTTCCAGGTTTTGGCAATTATGAATAAAGCTGTTATAAACATTTTTGTTCAGGATTTTGTGTAGACGTAAATTTTCAACTCCTTTGGGTAAATAGCTAGAAGCACAGTTCCTGGATCATATGGTCAGAGTGTGTTTAATTTTGTAAGAAACTGCCCAGTTGTCTTCCTAAGTGGCTGCACCATTTTGTGTTCCTACCAGCAATGAGGGAGAGTTCCTGCTGCTCCACATCCTCGCCAGCATTTGCTGTTGGCAGTGTTTTGGATTTTAGCTATTCTAATACATATATAATGATATCTCGTTGTTATTTTAATTTGCAATTCCCAAATGACATATGATGTGGAGCATCTTCTCATATGCTTATTTGCCATCTATATATCTTTTTTGGTGAACTGTCTTTATATCTTTGGCCCATTTTTAAGTTGAGTTGTTTGTTTTCTTATTGTTGTATTTTAAAAGTTCTTTGTATATTTTGGATAGAAGTCCATTATCAGATATGTGTTTTGCAAATATTTTCTCCAAGTCTGTGGCTTGTTTTTTTCATTCTCTTAGTTTCTTTCGAGGGCAGAAGTTTTTAATTTTAATGAAGTCCAGCTTATCAGTTATTTCTTTCATGGATCATGTCTCTGGTGTTGTATCTAAAAAGTCATCACCAAACCCAAGATCACCTAGATTTTGTCCTGTGTTATCTTCTAGGAGTGCTATAGTTTTGTGTTTTACATTTAGGTCTGTGACTCATTTTGAGTTAATTTTTATAAA